GTGTTGTTGAGAGCCCGCTATGCATCAGAGACAGGCCTGACCATCTCGTCCAGGTGCCCCGATGCCCACTTACCCTGACCCGTGGAGCCGATGACTGCGGTGACTGACCCTCTGCCTGGTCCCCCGGCCGCAGGGAAGCCTAGGGTCCCTGCCCTGCCCCCAGGCCCAGCTACGTTCAGCTCTGTGAAGCAGGATCTCTGGTGAGAGAGCCGGCTGTGCAGCGCTTGACCAAGCCAGCTCCCGCCCACCTCGGGGACCTTCCTGCTCATCCTCCCCCGCCACCTGCGGCCACCCGTCCTTGCACACGGCAGGCACTCAGCACCCACATGTGCTGGACTTCCTGAGAGAAGCAGGGAGCTGGGCTCACAGCTCAGCGGAGTGGCCATTCTGAGCCCTGGTCCTGCTGTATTACCCAGCTGGCTAACAACCCCGGGGGAACAAAGCCCCTAGCACGATGGACCCGCAAGGCCCTCTAACAGCCGGGCCTGCCTCCTGCTCTACTCTGCTCTCAGCTCTCGCCCCTCCTCTCTGGGCTCCAGCTGCGGGCCACCCTCTCCTGCCACAGGAACTTTGCACATGCCAGCTTCTTGGCTTCAGGTGATCCTGGCCCCCTGACTTCACCCAGTGAACACCCTTCCCCTCAGTTAGGCAAGCTTGCTTTATATTTGTGCCCTCTGCTCTGGGCTCTTATCTCCCCGGTTTCTGTGGTTATCTGGTCCCCCTGCTAGAGTTGATGAGCGAGGACTGAGACAGGGGTTGCCCGTCACTGGGTCCCCAGGATGAAGCCAACCAAGGGGAAGTCAGAGGTCCTCAGAGGGAAATCAGCCTGGAGTCTCAGGAGGGAGCGGCCCGGAACGGGGGGCTGTCACGGGCCGGGCTCCCGGGGCTGTGCGTGCCCCTCATAAGTGGTAGCCACACAACCCTGACGTTGTGTGGATGTCACCAAGTCAGGAGTTAGTTGTCACCATTGGGTGACAAAGGTCTCTCCCCTGCCAGCCCGTGAGCAATCAGAAAGCACATCCTGAGCCAAGGCACTTGACCCCCCTGAGCCTCAGTTTCCCCATCCATAAAATGGGGGTGATGATCCTGGTCTCTCCTAATGGGTTGAGAGAGGTATCGTGTGAAGCGTTCTGGCAGCCCGGAGCCTGGTGCTGGAACATTCGGTAAAGTGTGTCCCCATTGTGATAGGGGGGCCAGACCCACGCGGTGCCTGTTCTGAGTGTGGGATAGGACACGAAGGATGCTGAGCACCTGCCGTCCAGTGTGCCGGCCCCTGCCAGTCAGGGACAGCAAAGAGCCCAGAGGGGCGGGGCCTGAAGCTGCAGCTTGGTGTCACTTCAGGACCGTGACGGCCCCTTTGAAGGCGCCGAGACTGACGGCCCCTTTGCAGCCGGTGCGGGGCTCGGCCTGGGAGCTGGCACCCCGTCACCGGGGCGTGACCGCGGGCAGAGGCCCTCCCCTCCGCGGCCTGGGCCCCTGTGCCGGCCGGGCCCGCGTGCTGGCTCGGCGGCCGGAGACAATGGGGGCTGCGGCCGGGCCGGGGGCTGGCATAGCGGGCTGGCAGCGGAGCAGAACAAATCCGCAGGGACCTTCCTGTGCCTCCGCCCGCACGAGTAACCTAATCCGGGGGCAGCGGGGCGGCGGCCCGGGCTGGGGGCGCCGCCGTGGCTTCGGGCTGCTGTGTGTGTTCACGGTAATTTGAGGGCTTCCACTGGGGGGTTCCCGATCATTTGATGTGGCAATTAGCAAGGGGACTTTTGTCGTCCGGAAAGACACGGCCGCCCACTTCAATCACCCTGTTTACGCCCCGGTAGAAGCCAAACAGCCCCAGCGGCAGGTAACGGGGGACTTCAAACGGCCCCAGGACGGTCGCCCCTGGAACCGCCAGGCCAAGCTGCGCCCCCCACCCTTTTGTGCAGCTAAAGCGTTACTTTTCCCATGAGAAATTCCAGCCTTAATGGCATCGGATGACAAAGGCAGGCTCTCGCCCACCCGAGCCCTTTTCATGCGGGTACCTGGCTCTTGAGGTGGGTGGGGGAAGGGGCAAGTCATTTCTCCCTGATTCAAAGGGCATGTGGCCCCCTGAGTGGGGCGGGCCGGGGGTTCTCTGGATGTCCACGGGGGCTGGGGTTCCTGCCCCGGTGCGACGGGTGGCAGCTTAAGACTGGCTTTGCTTTCCCGTTCCCCCCGAAGGAGCTGCCTTTGCAGAGTGAGTCCCGGTGTGGCTCAGATGATGGTGATGACAAGGATGAGGTCATCCTCATCTGTCTTGGAACGTCCTGGTGCCAGGCCCTGGACCTCAGCCCGGAGACCACCTCACGCTGACACCTGCCGGTTTCCAGACCGGGCTGGAGAAGGTTTCGGGACTTGCGCGAGGTCGCACATCAGGCAGCGGGAGCAGCTAGGTCCGGGCAGAGGAAGCCCGTGGGAGTCAGCTGGACCAACGCCCATCCCTGCTGCCCCGGATCTGCGGCTGAGGGCGAGCCAAGACCCCGCTGAGCCTCGTCATCCGGATGATGGACCTTACACCAAAACCCCTTCCGTTGCTGGAGCACGAGTGTTGCAAGGGCCGAGCAGAGAGAGGCCTCAGCCCGTGCTGGATGCTGAGTAAAAGATCGGTCGCTGACCCCTCTGAGCCTCAGTCCCCACGCCTGGGAGTTGGAACAGCAGAGAGGAAACAGATGCAAAGCACCGCACACAGCTGCTGGAGGCCTGCCCCGCCAGCCCGCCCGGTCAGCGCCTGGCCGGACCACACCTGACCGGCTGACCCCTGACCCCAGGCTCCTCGTGGCCTGTCTCAGCAGGAAGGAAAGGGGGAAGCAAAGGGGGGGACATCGCACCCATCCGCACCCAGGCCTGGTGCCACCTGAGATACCGACACACCCTTATTGGTGGGATAAATTCACGCGGTCATCCACTGGTAGAGCCATTCCTTCCAGAACACCCCGGGTGCTGCACCACAGTGGACAGAAGACAGAAGAGGGGCCGGCCCTGCTGGCACTTCCGCTTGGGGAAGGGGTGGTGGGGACAGTAAAGACACAGACAGGACCCCTCCAGAGAGGGCTCCGCGGTGAGACTGGTGATGGTGTGAGGCGAAGGGGGAGGGGGAACGGGGGCCCTGCTGGCCGCGTCGGGAGGGAGGGCTCCCCCCAGGAGGCGACATGGCAGCAGCCACCTGAGGAACGAGAGGGCCGGGCTGACCTGCGGGACGAGTGGGTCTGTGGGCTTGGGAACAGAGACAGCACCAGTGCGGCTGGAGCTCGGCAGGGGGCCCCGTCGGGAAGAGCCTTCGAGATGACAAAGGGAGCTTGGTTTTAGCGTGACTACACGGGGGCCGTTAAGATGTTGCTCCCATCTTGCCATGCCCCTGCTCTCAAGCCTTCGATGGCTCCCCAGGGCCTCCCCAAGGATCTCTTTCTTGCACTGGCATTCAAGGCCCCGCACAATGGGACCTAACAACTCTCACGGTCAAGACTCCAGTCATCCCCTTATGCGCCAGCCCGTTTACAGCCTCCCTGTTCCCTGAGGCTCCCATGATCCCGCCTCTGCACTTTGCTCAAGCCCTGTCTCCATCCCAAATGCCATCTCTCCTACCCCTGCACCGGCAAGAAACTGGACCAGTCGTCAAGGCCCCGTGAAAATATCACCCCCTCCAGGAGGACCCCTGACCATAAGCTCACTGCGGTGGATTGCATGGACAACCCTGCTGTGTGGCCTTAGGTGAGGTGTTAACCTCTCTGATCCTCTCTGTAAAATGGGGTAGTAATAACGACTACCACCTGGGGTTGTTGCTGGGATTAAACAAGATAAGGGGGCAGGTGGGAAATGTTGATATTACCGTATATCATATAATACAAGACACCATCGACTGTAAGATGCACCATTATTTTATATCTCACTAAGGGTAGAAAAAAAGCTGACAGTTAACCCACAGCACGCTCCAGAAGGTCCCTGTAAATGAGACGGGGAGCTGGAATTTTAAACCGGAGGGAAGCGGTTGAGGGTCTGAAGGTGAGGAGGTACAAAGAGAGAGTTGAGCCCAAGAGACCCCCAGTTGCTGTCTTTCTGGATTCTTCCCCTAGAATTCCAAAGCTGAGAAGGATCTGTGAACCTGCCCTGTTTACCAGATGGGGAAGCTGAAATCCAGAGAGGAGGGGGGCCAGCTGGAGGTCACACGGGAGCTGAATCTCCAAGCTGGAGGGAGGGAGGGACTGGTTAGCATGGGTGCAAGGAGCCACCCCCGAGTGTCCTGTTCTCAGGGACGGCAGAGGCTGCCGGGATCCTTCCCCCTCATCTCATCCCCCACCCACTGCACACTCGGCGGTGGTCCCAGCGAAGGTCTAAGGTCGGGGAAATTGAGTTTTTGGCAGTCAATTCCCATTATAAACACAAAGGCCGATTCCTGGTTTACGGGCAGGGGTCCAGGGTGAGCCCTTTTGTGAACCCCCCACACTCCACTCGTCCGTTTATTCAGGTCGATGTCACATCTGCCGGACGGAGCTGGAGGGAACTGGAGATTAAACCCCCGGGGTCAGGGTCCGGCAGGAGAGATGGACAGGTAAACAGCAGGAGCTTACTGGAGCACCAGCGGGGGGAGATCCCGGCAGACTTCCTGAGGGAGGTGACGGGGGCTGAGCTGAGTCCTGCGGGAGTGTCGGCTGCAGCATCTGGATAGAAGCACAAGCAGAGCCTGCTTCTCGCGGCCCTGGGATTCCCTCTCCCGCTGGGGTGCTCGCAGGCAGGGGCCTTGTCGGCTCTGGTCTCAGTTTCTTTTCTTCAACATCCTCAGCCGCGTTGGGTGGGTTGAGTGTCAGCCCAGGGGCTCGTGTTCTTCCTCCATGGGGCGCCTGCCGTATGCTGAGCCCCCGTGCTGTTTCATGATCCGGGCGGGGCAGGAGACGGGGGTGAGGACCTACATCTGCGACTTGCTTACTGTGTGACCCTGGGCGAGAAGCTGCCCTTCCCTGGGCTGGCATCCTCTCTCTTCCTGATGCCTGGAGCACGTACTGCCCATGCCCACCCTCCTTGTCAGTGAGTGAGGAGGCGGGGTGCTAACCCGGGGCTCTGACCCCAAAGCCGGGCCTTTCCACTCCCTCCCCTGCTCACCCCACGTGGCAGCTGCCTCCTCAGGCCCCATGCCAGGTTCGAGGGTTCAGTCCCCATTGAGGGGGAACGTGTGCGGCCAGGCCTGGCCTCTCCCCGAGCTGGAGCCACGCCCACACTCTGCCTGCACTCTGCCTGGCCCCGGCCCCAGCACGGCTGGCTTCTTCCCGACCTTTGGGGCCTCAACTAGAAGTCGCCTGTGCTGAGCCGCCTTCCTGACCTGACGGCCCCCTGTGCGCACCACCCGCCAGCTCTGGCTCCTCATTCTCTGTGCTTCCTTCCCCGCGCTGCACCCATCTGAAACCAGCTCCCGCTCGTCTCCCTCCGTCCCTGGACCACAAGTCTCGGGAGGTCAGGAACCTGTCACTCGGGCCCACAGCACCTGCAGCCCCCAGGACGTGCCTGGCACAGATATGAGCACAATGCCTGTTGACACGTCGCATTGTGCGCCAAGGGGGGCAGTGACGGGGACGTCTTCAGAGGGGGATTTGACTTCTTGTTCCTAAGAAAAGCAGAAATGGGGGCATTTTCTACTTGTATGGAAGACAGAAAAAGGTGGTTGGGCTACTTGCCAAACCGCAGGCTCACGAGTTCCAGTTCCTTCCCTGCTTGGGCAACATGGCCACATCTGACCGGCACTGTGGTTTTGAACATTTTTTAAGGTTCGTGAAAAGAGACAGGCCTCCCACTCGGCGGTGACGGCACTTCTGGAATTGGCAGATGGAGAGATGTTATCATGGCACAAGCCGCCGGGGGTCAGTATGTTTTCCGTGGCTCTGTCTATCTCTGTCGGTGTGATCCCTTCCCAGGCCCCATGGGTGGGGCCAGCGATGCCACTGTGCTCCTGGCCTCGGGGACGCAAGCTCCAGCTCAGAATGACGACTCGCCAAGGGCAGTGTCCCTTCCTAATTTCAACGGCGCCCAAAGGCCCAGGCCCAGGCCCCAGTCCTGCCCAGCCTGCCCCAGGAGGGTGGCTTGGGGACCCCACTTCAAAGGGTCACCCCGGAAAGAAGGACTCAGAGGAAGGCTGGAGGAGAGGCCCCCACCCCATCCACACATCCATCCCGGGGTGAGTCCACAAGAGTCAGGGGTCACTCCCAGGGATGGGGGGTGTCGAGCAGGATGCTGGTCTCTTCTTAGCCTGGTTGGTGGTTGGTTACATGGGTGTCACCTCATAGCTAATTATTAAATGCTTCAAGAGAGCGTGCGGGTGCCCAGGCTTTGGAGCAGGTCTGGGTCTCGCTCTGATACTTGCTTTGTGGTGGGGCAGCTCGCTCCCCTCTCCCTTTCTAATCTGTGAGATGGGGACACGCTGCTACTTCCCTCCTGGGTAGTTTTGAGGATTCGAGGGGATGATGTGTGCAGAGGACTTGGGTCAGAGTGAACAAAGCTGCTGCCTTACCCTATTACTGTCACCGTCATCATCATCATCACCGTTGCCATCATCACCATCACCACCATCATCGTCATCACCACCATCACTATCATCACCACCACCACCATCACCACCATCATCGTCATCACATTACCACCACCATCACCATCATCACCATCATCACCACCATCACTATCATCACCACCATCACCATCACCACCATCACCATCACCACCATCATCGTCATCACCA